GAGTGAGATCATGTGTTTTTCTTTCAGTGCCTTGCTTATTTCACTTAACATAATGTTCCCCAGTTCCAACCATGTTGTCATGTCCTTTTCTTTAATGTGGGTACTTATTCTTAGAGTTGTAATTCATTCTTTAAGGTCCTTTTTCATTAATGAGAGCTGTCGATTATTGATCATATGCCAGTTACTGATTTCCATGGATCAGTTCATTTTATTCTGACAACGACTCTATGAAAGGCTTACCAACATCACCTGCATTTTGCAGGTAGGAAAAATTGAAGGTCTGAGAGACTCAGGGAAGCTCAGGATTTCACAAGCATCTGTATTCACCATAGAAATGAATTATCATTTGTTTGCTGTCTGCTCTGCATAAAGCCCTCTAATAAACTCTGTGGGCAAATAAAAGTTGATTAATGTTTCCAGCCTTCAGCAGTTTCTAATCTAGGAATTAACCTGTTCCTAACTTTATTATGACTCACATGATGTGATTAAAAAAATTATTTTATTTTATTTTATTTTTTGCAAGTGCTGTGAATTGAACCCAGGGCCTCACACATGCCAGGCAAGCACTTTGCCACTAAGCCACATCTCAGCCCAATGACATGACCTTTTTTTTTTTTTTTTGGTACAGGGGATTGAAGCTGGGGTACTTAACCACTGAGCCACATTCCCAGCCCATGCACATTTTTGTGTTTTCCCATGTACTGTTAGTTCATTTTCTTTCTCTCTATATGCCTAATGATATGCCTACTAAATTCAAGTGAGTCCTACTCTACATCAATCTGTGCCATCTTCCCCATGGAATTTCCCAGATAATAATACTCCTTTATGTTCTCAAGGTAAAGTATTATCATTACTGGAGACCTGAATGGTTTACATCTACAGCACCTAAGAATAATAGTTAATATTTACTGTGTACTTTCTATTCAAGACATTATATACAGTCACATTAATTTAATTCTTCTGTTACACAGAAGAAAAATAAATCTGAAGTTCTGTGAGTTAAGTAACCTAATATTCCTGGGAGAATCAGGGTTTACAGCTAGGCTATTAGACTCCAGGATGTGCTAGCCAAGTGCTTCTCCTGCTTTTGTTATTGTACTTCACTGTCATTATGTAAATATTTGTAAATAAATAGACTTTTTTGGTACTCTTGGCCCATGATTAGATTTCCTAGTATATTACAAACTGCCTTTGTAATATATATATTCTTACTCCATGGTTATTATTTTAAGAGAAGAATCAATTTCTGAGTTTCTTTTGAATTGCCCAAGGTATTTAGTATAATAGCTGGGTCACTGAACATACCCTCAAAAAATGCTTCATCTAATCCTAGAAGATGTGTTAATCTGAATCCATACCTAACGTAGGAGGACAGATGGTCCACATTACAAAATTTTTATTTCATCCTGAATTTCTATTCCATCTGTTAGAAATTTGAGTTACAAAATGCTCCCTAGAAGAGGAATGATGATTGGGATCTGCAATGCAGGAAGCACCTTGCCTTGGGTCCAATTCTTGGCTGGATGTAAGTTGGGTCTGTTGGGAGCAGGAGTCAGGGTGGGACAGGGAAGCATGATACCTCTGCACAGCATCACCCAGCTCAAATCACTTTCTAAAGAGGCATCTACTGTAGAGGATGTTGGGTGTGTGGGAGACTCTCCCCTGAAGGTAAGTTTCCATCTCTCGAGAACATCATGGAATCCCTTACCCCTCCCCCTCCTCTCCTAAGGGCGCCAAACCGAAGAGCGCCAAATTCAAAAGTTCTCTTGACCAATCCCCGTAGGACACAGTGTCCCGCTTGCTGTTCCTCAGTCACCCTGCCAATCAGCACTCTCCATTTCCCCTAGGCAACCCTTCCCCTTCTTAAGCTGAAGCTTGTAAGCACATGCTCTCTTCCCTCTACCTCTCTGCTCTCTTCCTCTTCTTTCTCTCCTCTCTTCCTCTCTGCTCTCTCTCTCTCTCTGCTCCTCCTCTCCTCTTTCTGCTCTCTGCCTCTCCTTTTCAGGCAGCCCCTCAATAAATCTCTTCGTTGAATCTCTGGCTCGGGTGAGTCACTTGCCTTTCAGAGGAGGTAGACGAAAAGTCTTCTGAGTGTCTTTAGTGCTGTCAGGACATTTTCTGCAGTTTCTGCTGGCTCCCCCCTTTTAATGATCATGTGAACACCAACTCAACACAATCAAATCAAAACCTCAGATTTTTCCAGAAAGTAGGATGGTGGAAGGTTTTTCTTTCCTGCTATAACTGCATCAAACTTGTGATAATTTGTTTTAATTCTAAAAAACAGACAAATGAAGTCACAGACTAGTGACAAGGAACCATCTAGTCATTAATTAATTAATTAATTAATTATTTTTTTCCCCAGTACTGGGGATTGAACCCAGGGGTGCTGTACCACTGAACTCTATCCTCAGCCCTTTTTATTTTTTAATTTTGAGACAGGGTCTTGTTAAATTGCTGGGTTTGGCCTTAAACTTGTGATCTTCCTGCCTCAGCCTTCTGAGTCACTGGGATCACAGGTGTGCACCCATAGTGGTGCACACTGGCTCATCATTAACTTATTAGTAAGTGTTTATAGTCACGTCCTGTGTGTCAGGCACTGTGCTGGCTCCTGGGAAAATTTCAGGGGAAAAATAGGAACAAACTTGTATTTTCTTTTTAGGAGGGTGAAGAAATTTGAAGGTAAAATAATATTTGCCTTTGACATTGGAAGAGGAAAGAAGGACCTATATATTTATTAAACTGGGATCAATGGGCTGAAGTTACAGGAAGGTGTACTTTAGTCACTGAAAGGAACAACTCTCCAAAGAGGAACTGTTCTTAAGGCACTGAGTCTCCCACTGCTGGGGATAACAGGGGGAGGGGCATATTACATGCAGGAAAGTGCTCTTCTAGTTAACAGAAGACCCAGGATATCTGATTGAGTTGGATGCATTTGAAGATACCTTCAGACCTTGATTCTATAACATTTGGGAGCATATGTAAGAAGCCAAGAAAGCGAATGTATTATATAAATATAATAATAGAGCCGTAACCCCTAATAAAACCCTGTAGTTATAACCTTACAATTTCCCTGGATCTCACCTGGCAGAGGCCTGGTTCCTCTCTGGGACCCCTAGTGTCAATTGTCCAAGGATGATTGAGGGCTGGAAAGTAACACATCTCTGTCCCCAGGACTGGAGAGCAACATGCACCCCATTATAACACAGTGGTCAGCAGGCGGCCACCCTTGCCCACAGTGGTGGAACCTGAGGAAGAACATGGCACTGTGACCTGTGGAAGGATGTCATAAGCTGGCTTCTTGATTTTAGGTGGTCAGGAGTAAGACAAAGCTGCTAGAGGGGGGAGGACACTTTGCCCTCTGGTTCCCTTTCACTCCTTTGTCTGGCTCTTCTCAAAGACCGGAGATTCAACATAGCACATTTGAAAGTTAATTCTTCCACATTTCTGTGGCGGAAAATAGTCTCATTTTAAGCCCAATGCAGGGAAAGTGTCCCCTTTTACTATTGGCCTGTGACTTAGTGGGTTATTGTCTTTTTGGAGTCCTATTGTTGATTTATTTGCCTGCAAGTTTCTCATGAGCTTCTTGCTTCCCAAGCTCCTATTGTGTTGGGGTTACACCTCATTGCACAGGGCTGGTCAAGGAAATTCAGTTTCCCAAGAAAACAAAATGTTCTCCTGTATGAATTTTTTCCTTCATTAGAATTAAGTCTCTTGTAATGCCATTTTTAACAAACCAGCAAGCAGATCAGAGAGATAATTGGGTGTGATGGGGAATTGAGGGAAACAAGTAATCGAGGGGTTGAGAACACAGGCTCTAGCTTTAGACTACAGCTGGATTTGCTTCCTGACTCTGTAACATTTACTGTGTTACTTTTCCTAAGTTAACTAACCTTTATGTGCCATGGTTTTCTTATCTCCAAAAGGAAGATAAGAGATTACCTTAGGGTTAGTATTAGGATAAATTAGTATATGCCCACAGCACATAGTTAAGCATTCAATAAAAGTTAGCTCTTATTATTACTATTTTTGAGAGGCTTCTCTCAATATAATATGGTTAACTTTGTGATTTCTGAAAGGCAAGAATCGGCTGTGAACTTACAAGGAAAGACCACAGCAATACAATGTCCTCATAGGAGTTTCATGGGAATTGTGCATATCAATCAAAGACTTCCTTTCCAGGTATAGGTGGTGACTTTTTTGGGTGTGGAGGGTACCAGGGATTGAACTCAGGGATACTCAATCCCTAAGCCACATCCCCAGCCCTACTTTATATTTTATTTAGAGACAGGGTATCACTGAGTTGCTTAGTACCTCACTGGTTGCTGAGGCTGGCTTTGAATTAGTGATCCTTTGGTGGCCTTACCTATAAGAGCAGTGGCTGAGATTACAGCACCCGGCAAGGTGGTGTCTTTTGACTGAGCAATGAGGCTCTCTTACATGTGCTGGGCTTTACCCTGGTGTTTCTTATGCCCATTTTCCATGTCTTTTGAGGGTTGGAGTCAGTGTTGCAATCAAAGACATGTCTCAGCTCAAGACTGGACCCTGGAGAAAGTCTGTAGTAGGAGCCAGGTCCACACAATCAAACGTTTTCCATGCTCACGACACCCTTGCAGAGTGAATATCTTTAGGGAATCTGACTCTAGAGGCTGAGGAAGGAGGATTGCAAGTTTCAGGTCAACCTGAGCGATTTAGCAAAGCCCTATCAAAATTAAAAATAAATAAATAAATAAAAAGGGCTGGGATGTAACTCAGTGGTGGAGCACCCTGGGTTCAGTTCCCAGCATGGGGTGTATGTGTGTTGGGGTGCTGGAAATAGGGTGCTCTCAAAGTCAAAGAAACCTTGATTCTTCTCTGACACAAAGGAAGCTCTTTTGGGGCCCTTTAAAGCAGTATGTGGCTCCAGCTTAGATGACGAACTTGCAGCCATGGACCAGGAGGGGAGTGTCCTCAGTATCGTTTGCAATCTTCTTGCAAACAATCTTATCAGCGATTTCTCCGAACATCCTTCTTGCTTCTCCCTCCACTCAGATCCTGCTTTCCCTCAGGGGCATTCTCTGGAAAGGGCGAGGCTCCCTCCACCCTATGGACCTGGGGAATGCTGCCAGCAAGGGCCAGAGGAGGCAGGATCTATAAAAGACCAGCGCAACTGTCCCCCCCGCTGCCTGCCTTCCCGTGCGCTCTCAACCAGCCTCCTGCCCTCCCGCGGCACCAGCGCCATGCTCTGCAAGGTCCTGATCCTCCTGGTCCTGTGCGCCGCGGCTGTGGCGTTCCCCTCGCTGCGCCCAGGTGAGTGCAATGTTGGAGATCTTGGTCTTGGGGAATACGGCTAAAATAATTTTGTGGTGTGTGTGTGGAGAGAGAGAGAGAGAGAGAGAGAGAGAGAGAGAGAGAGAGAGAGAGAGAGAGAGAGAGAGAGAGAGGAGAGAGAGAGAGAGATCTCCCTGGTGAAAACTGTAAGGTGGTATTGGGTGAAATGTATATGGACTCGTCTGAGGGTCTTAGGTGGGGATGGATGGGCAGCTGAGCTCTGGGCCTGGGTAGCTGAGTGACTAAGTGATGTTTTAAATTGTAGATTTCAATTGGCCTCGGGAAGGTGACCAGGCTGTGCCAGGTAGGGTGAGGAGATTGGAGCTGCTGAGGTTTCCTAGGTGCCTTTCCCTGCTGGGTGTTAGACATTATTTTAGTTAATTCAGGCTGAAAGTCCTGTGGCAGGAACCTCATTTCATAGTGGAGTACAATCCATTTTGGAGAGATTTAGCAGCCAGCTGGGTCACAGACAGTGGAAATCAGTGGGTCTGGAAAGGAACATGTGAAGCATGTTGAAGAAGGAAAAAAATGGGTGTCTTCCTAAGCAGAGAGAAAGGGAATCTGTCACCCCAAGTTTTCTTGTCCATTTCTTTCTGCTTTCAGGCCCATTTCTCAGGAAGAGAAGTGTGTGCTTATTTGTATTAAAATCATCATTCTCCCTGGCCCTCTTCCTCTCAGCTCCTCTTCTGGTGGCTCTGTTTTTGGGAGGCTGGGTTTGGTCTTTAACTGCATTTGGCTGAGGGGTAAAGCAAGGTGAGGACAGTGGAGAACTAGCAATTTGGGCCTCTTGGGCAGCTGTCCACATCTGCCACAGTGACTGCGCATCTGTCTCCACTGCAGCCTCAGGAGACCAGCTTGTTGCCTAAGAGTCCTACTTTGCTATGATGCTTATATGGTTAACAAGCCCCACCATTCAGGACATGCTGTGAAAAGGAGCCATAGATATGGTTCAATTAATTAAATTAAAACATATTAGAAGTTGCCCAGTTTAGAGGCTATCACACTCTTGCTTGTACTTAGCAATAGCCGTTTGCCTTGCTCCTTATCCCCTCTCAGTTTTTGTTTTTAGCTTTCAGGCTCTGGGAAGGACTATAGAGGGAGAGTCTTCTGTGCCAGTCTGACCAGTACATTGGACACTATCAAATGCTCCTTTCTGAACCTACCCCCTCAAAGGAGGATGTGTGGAGGCTCTGATCAGTTCCTTGGCATCAGCTGCCCAGGGATTTCCTACCACTGGTAGGATGGAGACTTGTGAGAGACCACTGGGGCTTCAGTAGCCACCTTGCATACTATTCTTTCCCCCAGAGGAAAGGTCTAGCTGGGAACAGGCAGGCATGGAGGCGGCAGAAACATTCTGCAGGAAGGCACTTGAGCTGCTGTTTTCTTTCTGGCTCCTCTAGAATCAACCACTGACCTACTGGAATTGATCCCTGATCTAGAGTTAACCACTGATGGAGAGGTAACTGAGGATCAAGAGTCAATCACTTACCTAGACGAGACCACAGACCTAGAGTTGACCACAGACATGAACCTGGATATCATGCATATTTCCAGTAAGTGAGAGTCTTGCTTGTTGGACCCCTATTTTCTGCATTTCTGAGAATGCCTGATTTCTTTTTCTATATTGGATTCCCACTATTGGCTAGTGACTACACCGGTGTCTTCCATTTTATTTTCTCAGAATTCAATGTTGACCTTGAAACAGCCACTGCCATCTATTTGGAAGAAGCCAGTGAGGACCCAGGTAAGGATTCCTGTCTCCTAATATGCAGAATTTTCTCCCTGACTCCCTACCTCATTACTTAGGAAAGTCCTGTAGTAGCTTATGTTTGGGGACCAGCTCTGGTGTCTCCTTGGGGTGGACAGATGTGGCGACAGGATGGGGCTAATCACTTCCTTTCCTTTTCAGATGATTATAACACATTTCAGACAATGAGCTTTGTGAGTGAAGATTTTGGTAAGTGTAAATGTCATCTAAATTTAGACAAACAGAATAAAAAGGGATTTAAAGGCTTTGTGAATTAAACAGTGGTCCTATCTGCCCAATCCCTCTCACAACTCATGTTTCTTCATTTTTCTTTCTCCCATTTTGTGAAGGAACCATAGCACTTCAATATCTTCTGTCACTGCCAATAAACTTCAATAGTTTGAAGGATGTGTGAGATTTTTGCTGAAAAAGGGCCTTGGGCCTTACCTATAAGAACAGACTTTTAAGGAATCTCGTTGTGTCTACAAATAGCAGCTAACCTGTATTCTAGCACTGCTGTAGGCATATTGAAGGATTGCAGGTAGTAGTTGGATAAGTGCAGAAGATGTTCTTTTGGGGAGATAGAGATGAGATAAAATGGGGTTGGCTGTATGGCTTTAAATTTTTGTTTTTCACAAAACATAACTTAATTGCTTAATAAAGTGGTACTTCAGTATTGTACTCAAACTTCCCTACCTCTAGTTGGTTAATAAGTTAATGATGTCCTATGCCCTGCACTGCATGGAGTAATGGGGAAATTCTCATATTTGACTACAATAAGAAGCAACCTCATGGTCCAGACCTGTGTGGTCACTTCTGAAAGCAGAACCCCACTGGTTTCTACCACTGCCTGTTGAGAAATGATTTCTGACTATGGTAATTACCATCTAAGAAGCTTCTATTTTTAGTAGGAGGAGAGAATCCAGAAGGTTTTAACTTTTTAGGTTAATAAATTTTTGCTGTTCCCAGCACATGTTTTTCCTTTTGATCAGCCAACTGAATTAACAGTTAAGGCCAGAGATTTTTGTTTTATTTACTTTTTCCTTTCATTCTTAGTTTTTGAGGGATTTTTCTCTGGAAAGATTCCAGAACAGAGTCATGAAGTCGTACTTCAGTACTCTGTCCTTGTTTTATACCCTTCCCACCCAGATGCCATGTTCAATAAGCTCAATATATGTACTTCTGGCAGATGAAGATATATCCAATTAATGTGGAACTTCTGGTTTTAGACTTTTTTTTTTGGCACTGGGATTTGAACTGAGGGGAGCTTTTACCACTGAGTTATTACCCTAGCCATTTTTTTTATATTAAATTAATCTCACTAAGTTGCTGAGGCTGGCACTGAATTTGTGATTCTCCTGCCTCAGGCTCTCCAAGTCTCTGGGATTATAGGCGTGTGCCTCTGCACCCAGCTACTCTTAGGAACCTGAGTGTGAGGGGAGATGAAACCCTTCACCAATCCTTCTCATGGGGTGCAGGTGCATCCACTTCCACTGGCAGGCATTCAGCATTGGTAGAGTGTCTTGGCAGTTAGGAGAAAGGAGGCTTTTGTCCCAGATTCAATGGAGTCCTACGTGTACTAATGCTACTGTTAAGAGAATTCAGTGTGAGTAATATACCAGGTGAAATTGACTGCAAACTATTTCTTTACTTAATTGCAGACCAGAACAGCACTTTTCCAGAAAGCAATGAGTCCACTTCAGTGTATCTTTGTAAGTTGCTTTTCTCTTATCTCTGATGCCTTTTGAGGGATCTGATACTCCTTTTAATGCCAGTTTTAATCCCTTGGGAAAAGATTCCAAGCTTAATACTTCCTAGATACTGAGATCAGCTACAAAATCTAACAAGGAGGTTGAAGATAACCTCTTTCCTCCAAGTTCTTCCACGTCCGGTTACTTGGAACATTAGCAACAAACTAGGATAAACAAGGTCTCTTCCTTGAATTTTTTTCCCCCAAGATTTATTCTTCCTGTCTCTTCTGGATGTGAGTTCCTGTGTACTCCATGGAATTTTACCAAATGAGTAGGCTGAAGAAAAGGCATCATGTTACCTGATGCAGAGGACATACCACTGCTTTAAAAATTCTGGGGGCTCTGCATCAGGATGTCCAGTTTTAATACTTCTCCTCACTCTTGACTTTTTGGAAGTCAATAAAATGGTTTCTTCATGCAATAAAATGGATATCAGGACAGTATGTAAAGTCTCATTTGAAGTACAAGGGGAGGATGGGAGGGTAAGGAGTTACACCTTAAGAAATTAAGTCTCGTGCCCAAGATCACAGTGGTGACAAAAGATGGGTCTGATCTTTTGAGTACTGGGTTATCTAGGTAATTCCTCTGTTGTTGTTATTTTTAATTTAGAAAATGAAGCAAGGTCTCCTTTTGCTGTGACAGTCACTCTGCTATTCAACACTGTCTGAGAAGACTTGAACTTTTGAATCAGCCAACTACTACACTTATTAGATATTGCTTGATTGTAGAAAGCTAGTGAATCATGGCACATGCCCAGCTGAGGAGAAATGGCAAGCACTGGTCTAGGGTGGGTGTTGTGAATTTTACAGACAGAAGAGGGGCATTTCTTAGCTCTTTCCTACTTAATACAGATTTAATAAATTTTCATTAGAATTGAATTTTGAGAGTGGTTTATTTTAGGAGGAAAAAAATTGCTTAGTTGCTAATTTCGTTCTTCTTTGATGCTTTATAAAGAGGATCCAATACTTGTCAGGGGCTGCAATAGAGCCTGAAATGAATCTGTGGAAAGTACATTAATTTTCCTATGGCTGCTGTGATAAATTTCCACAAATAGTGACATAAAACAACATGATTTATTGTCCTGTAGTTTTGTAGCTCAGAAGTTTGCAATGGTTCTCACTAGGTAAAGTCTATATGTAGGGGCTGCGTTCCCTTCTGGAGGCTGGGGGGGGGCGGGAATCCCACTTGTTCTTCCATCTTCAGAGCCAGCAATGGCTAGGGGAGTGTCATATCCCTGGCACACACTGGCCCTTCTGCCTTCCTTCCCACAGCACTTTCCAGAAAGCATGAACATCTCACTCCTGTGCACCCAGTATGTTTCACCCAGGTTCTTTGGAGGTGGAGACAGTTACCAGGATATTTTTTGCAAAAAGATACATAGGAGTTTATGTAAAATTAGTTGGTGTTACACATGTTTGTACTTTGAAGTACAAATGTAAGCTGGGGCCGATGAATCCTTTAGGTGGTGTGGACTTGGGTGGGAGAGAAATGGGTTCTGATTATAAGGGCACAGCTCACTATGAACCTCTTATGAATCCAGCTTCTTTTTGTAACATGAGTCAGTTATACCAAATCAACTTGAAAATCCTTTTCTGTTCTTTAATATGTCATAGCAAATAGCACATTAATGTTTGGAATCACTAACTCTTATAATTATTAACTTATTAGCTTGTCTCAGGAAAAGTCTGTGTTCACCAAGTGATTTTTTTCCCCCTTTGGTGGTGCTGGAGATTGAACCCAGGGGCTTGAGCATGCTAGGCAAGCACTCTACCAAATGAGCTATAGCCCCAGCCCACCAAGTGAATCTTTATACAATAAGCTCTCTCTTTTTATAAATCCCTTTTACAATGAGATTGTAACAGAGCACATTGTATTTTAGGATTCTTTATTCTGTCTCTGTCAAGGCCCTTGTCTCAGGAATTTTCTTCTAAATAGAAAGTAGTTCCAAGTCCTCCATTGATTTCTTTAAATTTCTATTCTGTCAATCACCATTTTTCCTTTTTTATTCCCATTAAAAAAATTTCCTGCAGATTTCAGCACAGAATTTTATGATGGACCATCAGAATGATTTATGAAATTTAGTCAGGAAAAAGAGCTCTCAAAATAGGCACTCAATAGTATCTATCTAGGATAGAAAAGAGATTTCATCTCAAGTTCAAGTGCCTCAACTAAAAGTGGTGTCCTAGAGAATGTTAGGGTGGTGGCGTGCATACGGTGCAAAGAGCTGACCCTGGTGTAAGTGGCACTTGAAGCCCTGGGCTTAAACGAAGTCCCTTAGAACAGTGTGGATTTCAGGAGAAATAAGGCCCTGAGACAGCCCTGGGGAAACTTAACACGCAGAGCCGAAGTTGAGGAGTGCCAGGCATGTCACTACACTCAACAGCAGCTTCAGGAAAAGCCTACCTGTGGCAGGTAAAGCCTGAGTTGAGAGCTTTTTGTAGGTTTTTCTACAATACATAGGAAATGTTCACAATATTTCTGATTGTACAAATTAGTTGATACTAAAAATTAATTGCACAAAACATAATTAATTACATAATATTTAATATAAAATTTATACAATTTATATGACAATGTAAACATTGTATACATTTTGACAATGGTGCAGACTATTCTGTTTCTGTAATCAAGAAACTCCCCAATTTTCAAGGATTTATTTTACTTAAGACAATTTACATTTCATGTAATTATTGATATGTTAAGGCTTAAGTCTGTCACTTTAATTTATGTTTTTCACTTACTTTATTTTTTCCCTGTTTTCTATGTCTAGGCTTCCTCTGTTACTTGGACTTTTTCTTTTTTTTTCTCAGAATTTCATTTTGGCTTATGTATAGTATCTCCCCCAGCCCTGGTCCTCCTCCTGTATTGGAGATTAAACCCAGAGGTACTCTGTTGTTGAACTACATCCCTGTTATTTTTTCTTTTAAATTTATTTTATTTTATTTAAGTTTTATTTTATTTTATTTAAGTTTATTTTATTTTATTTAAGTTTTATTTTATTTTATTTTATTTAAGTTGAAACTCTTGCTGAGTTTCCAAGTCTGGCCTCAAAGTGTGATCCTCTTACCTTAGTGTCCTGAGTTGCTGGGATTATAGGCATGCACTACCATACTCCATTTATCTATTGTATTTTTGAGTGCATTTCTTTCTTCTTTTTTTTTTAATCTTTTTTTTTTATTATCTATACATGACATTACAATCATCTTGGCAATTCATACATTTGTATCATTGGGGTATAATTTCTCATTTTTCTAATTGTACAGATTGCAGAATCACACTGGTCATAGAGTCACCTATATACATATATCAATCATAATGTCTATTCTATTGAGTGCATTTCTTTATACATAAATCACTTATATAACATATAACTTACAAGTTAAGCTTAAAGTCTACAGCAGTGCTAATCCTACGATGATATAAATATTATTTTATTTTTTTTTTTAAATTTTTTATTGTTGGCTGTAATATTCTTTATTTGTTATTCAGTATGGTAGTTACTAGAAATGTGACTATTTACTGTTGGAATATGGCTAGTGTGATTGAAAAGCTGAAATTTAAATAATTTTAATTCGTTTTGATTTAAGTAGTGACGCACGTGACACAGCACCGTATTGAACAGTAGATCCAAAGAAAATGGGGCTATGAGTCAGATAAATGGACTAATGGATGGATGCATAATCACACATTGAGGCAGAAATTCAGAAATGAACATGATTCATGTAAGTTTATAACAGAGGAGTGTGGGTTGGAGTTAACTTGGCCAAAAGAGTTAAGTTGGCCAAAGGGAGTGGAGAAGAGCATTCTTAGGTGTGGGAAGAGTGGATGTTTTCTAGAGGGAGGGATCCCTAGGACACAAGAAGGCCACTCTACAACTGAGAATGAAAGGGAAAGACTTCAGGTGTGTCTGGAAAGAGAGATCAAATGTTGTTCCTGGTGGTCACTTTCAGAATTTAGTTTTTTTGGAGGGTGTTTATTTTAAAACTGGGTTAGCAGACAATTTTTTTTCTTTTTTTTTGTGGTGCTGGGAACACAACCTGGGATCTTGTAAATGTTAGGAAAGCACTTTACCACTAAGCTGCATCCCAAGCTGTTGGCAGAGGATTTTTGCATGAACACATATGTGGCATGAAAGGCTTTGACTCAGGACTACAGCTTGGAGAATTTGGAGGGAAGAAGGAGTGTTATAGGGTCACTAAGTAGGAAGAACAGTGCAGTAGTGTAGGTGAACATGGCAATGGAGATAAAGTGGGTGGAGTTCAGAGATAGGTAGGAAATTTAGAAAGGGGACAAATTGATATACTTTGTATACAGAATGAGATGGTCAAAGCTATGGCTTGTGTATTGCATGAATGGTTGAATGGCAGTCATTAGAGCTAGGGTTAACAGATTTAGTTTTGTTTGGAAACACTGAGTGGTGCCTTTAGAATATTTAATTAAAGATGTTAAATATATAAAGGTGTGATGTTCAGGGTAGAAATCTTGGCAAAAGATATAATTTTGTGTCCCTGGTACATTGTGTAATAACTGAAGCCATAGGAAAGGGTTTTTCTTTTGGTAGTAGAGAATGAACCCAGTGATGTTTCACTTCTGAATTACATCCCCAGACCTTTTATTTATTATTTTTTTTTAATTTTGAGGCAGGCTCTTGCAAAGGCTGGCCTCGAATTTGCGATGATCTTCCTGCCTCAGTCTCCTAAGTCTCTGGGATTACAGGTGTGCCACACTATACCCAACTCAGAAAGGATAAGTTTTTCTAGGGAGATAGTATGTAGCAAGAAGAGACAAAACACTAAAACAAAATGAGAAGATTTCACAATTCTTTTGACTAGGTGGAAGCAGATGTGTTTGCAAAGGAAACACAAAGTGTTAGCTCCTGGATGATGGGAACTGACTTTGAATTCATCATTCATCCTTAACTCTTAGAGAATTTTTGATGCAGAAAAGGCACTCAATATTTGATAAGTGAGAGAAGTGAGGAGTGTAGCAACAAGAGAATTAGAACATAAAACAGATACGTGTTCTGGCCAACGACACACGCTGACGAGATGAGCTGGGTTCAAAAGAGCTGGCTGCAATATTAAGAAAAGGGTGAAAAAGCACAGATTACAGAAGTACTTTTCTTATCGAGGGCCAGACTGCTCTGTGACCTCAAGGGTCCTCCTTCACGCTGGAAGGCAAGAGAGTGTACACCCGGAATCTATTTATAGGGAAAAGGATTTTTGATAGAATATTCTACACCAAATAAGGCAGGGGATAATATTTCAAAGGGGGTTGCCAAATCCCATTGAGTGATGCTCAGGTCCAGAGCTGAAGCAAACTTCTCTGCCAATCAAGGTGGAGGCCACTTGCTTCACATAGCCCTGGGTCTGCGATGCCAGATCAAACACCCCCTTTACTCAAGGCTGAGAGAGGATGCTTAGCTCATGGGCAGGGCAGCCTCCCACAGCATGTGGTATCTTGGAAACAAAGAAAAGAGAGGGTTCTTTTCCTTTTCCTTCTCCTTTAAATTTTTTTTTTTTTTTGGTATTGGGGATTGATTTCAAGGGTCCTTAACCTCTGAGCCGCATCCCCAGCCCTATATATTTTTTATTCAGAGACAGGACCTTACTGAGTTACTTAGGGCCTCACCAAGTTGCTGAAGCTGGTTTTGAACTTAGAAAAGGTGAACTAGAGAGGTTCTAGACTGGGAAAAACTGCCAAAGACAGGGTGTGATTAAAATATTATTCTAAAAATGTAGGAATGAGAGCCTAAAGTTGTCACACTATTTTCTTGTAGTTTTTTTTTTTTTTCTTTAGATACCAAGGATTGAAGCACGGTGCGCCTAACCATTGAGCCACATC